CCTCTTTTTCTCTGACCCTCCACCTTACCCAGCATGACATCCTTCTCCAGCGACTGTTCTCTCCGGACAATGTGTCCAAAGTATGAGAGACAAAGCCTAGCCATCTTCCCACATAGATTTGTTCATTCTTCTGGCAGGCCATAGCCCCCCCCTTTTTTTTTTTAAGGTTTTTATTGTGGACTGAGTAAAAGTTTATAGGGCAGACCATCAGTCTTACATTCAACAAATCATACACCTTGTTTCATTACAATGATTATAATCCCCTGCATGTACCATCAGTAAACAATATTTCTCTCTATTCACTTTAGCTTTTTTTTTTAAAAAAAAAAAAACCCACTCAGGCATATATAATAATTTACACCTCCAAAGGGCACATTCTGCAAGTCTGTCTCCTGGCCATCAGCTCTTGTCCCTCTTTTCCCATGAATCTGGAGTCCTCAGCCACTCCCTCTCTTCATGTCCTTATCTCTGCCTCCATCTCTGGCATTGCTGCTTCTCTAGATAAGGTCCTGCATTCTGTTTGTGCTCTCCTCCTTTGATGGTCCTAGGGTCCTCTGTTTCTGGACCGTAAGATTAACCACTCCCATTTTTGTTACAAAACTTCTACCTTTACAATTGTGAGAGTCGCAATTAGTCACAAGTGAATCATACGTATCTTATCCCCATCTCTTTTCACCAGATCCATCTAGATAAGAATAAAACTATTCAGTGGGAACTCTTTCTTCTCCACCCCCCACATACTCTTAAACTAAACACCCTCTTGAAACCTTGTAAGCCAGTCACTTTATGACTTTATCGCCCCCTCATTTTAGATAGCCAATGTCTAAGTGGCCCATCCCTATCTACCCTGTGTACAGAGGGGATACGATTGATACTTGATGTGAAGACTCCTTTCCTCTCTGTTGGTATTTAGAGTTACTAAGCCCATGATTATAGGTCAGGTTCATCAAATTGTAGCAATTTACCCGTGTTTCCTTTATCAAAAAAAGAAATTTTTTTGTTTTTGTTTTTTTTTGTAATCTTCCTCTAGCTGAGTTCTGATTATCGAGACTTCGAGGCTAGGTCAAATGGGTACTGTTTACAAGTTTGGGTGTTCTTGTGCATCTCCCCTCGCCTTTGTATGTTACACTTCCCTTTTCCCTAGCTGCTTTCAGGATTCTGTCCCTATCTTTGATTTTGGAGAGCATCATTATTATATGTCTTGGTGATTGTCTTTCAGGATCTATCCTTCCTGGGGTTCGTTGAGCTTCTTGAATGCTTATCTTTTCA